TTAATTACCATAACATTTAAATAACATATGACATACGCACAACAAATCATACTTACAATTTTCTCAGTAAATGCTCTTAATGCATCTGAGGTGTACTCTCCATTTGGTCTTAGTCGAGCCCTCTTCAACTTCTCATGCCTTGACGGTGGAGATGGTTTGCAATCATGACCAATGGAGTCCTCATCTCCCACTTGTTATTTTTTTTCTCCATCATTTTTTCTCCAGTTTCTTGTAACCCCCCGCGAGACAATCTATGAGGGTAAATGTTTTTCGCTTTATTTTGTATTCCTGCTTGACTTTTAGTTTGTTATAAACATAGCGAAAATATGATTAGTATCTATAAATCATTAGAATTAAATTATTAAGATAAATAAGACTAGTATTAATCAGGAATTTATCAGAAAGACGACCCTTTGCAAACTTTTACTAAACCTTCTTCGAGAGAAAACTACACCTCACCTATGGACGCTCAAGACCAATCTTAGACTTCCTAATGTAGTCACGTGTGAGTCGCAAATTAAAGTCCTTCCAACACGTACCAACATGACTTACCCACTTTTTTTAGGTGTTTATCACCATCACTAAACTCAAAGGTCAACTACATTTAAATCAATAAAAATGCATTAGAAATTATAGAAAGTCATATTGAAATGATGAAAATTAAAACTAATACCTTAACATCTGTCCACATGCTATCTTTGACATCATATGGCGCTTGTTTCTAATCATCTATCAATATATTAACTTTACTACGTCCAAGGAATGCAACATAACTCTTAAAAAGAGAAGAGTATTCAAAATTAACTACTCTATAATACAAATCAAACGCGATAGGAAATTTGATACTAGATTTGTGGACTTTTGTTACTTTGGTATGTATTGTGGCACCTCTTTGTGATTTTTTATTTTTGATTTGGGTATTACTTGTCATAGTTTCCTCACCATTAGACGAATATTACGACGAAGATGACGTCTTTTTTCAAAAATAACAACAACCTCAAAAACAACAACAACAACAAAAACAAACTCTTTCATCTAAAACCACATACACATTCAACAACAGCAACAACAAAAAAACTATTTCAAAGATTATCACATACACATTTAACAACAACAACAACAAACTCTTTCATCTATTATCATATACATATTCAACAATGGCAACAACAACAAACTCTTTAAAAAATTATCACATACACATTCAACAACAACAACAACAAACTCTTTCATCTATTATCACATACACATTCAACAAAAAAAAATATTAATCAAGTTTTATAACACACATTCAACAAGAACCAGAAAACAACAACACTAACAACAACATCAACAACAACAATGGAAATTGAAGTTTACTGTAGATGCATGGGGAAAAATTTTTTACGTACCGTAAACGTGATGACTAAGTAAATATGAATATTTAGGTTGATATAGATAGTGTTGTTGTTGTATTCCTCCTTGATGATGAAGATGACGTTAGTGTTGGCGTTGGAGAGTTAGGGTTAAAAACAAACCGATGATGATGATGATGATTACGGATTGAAAATGGACAACGAATGCAAAACGATGAACCGATGATGATGAATGATGAACCGACGATGGTGAACCATGATAAATGATGAATGTTAGGGTTGATATGGTGTTTCATTTCTCAACATTGAACATCAGGGTTGAAATGGTATATCGTTTCTCAACAAAGAATGACTATTGAAAAGACAAGGTAGTTAACTTGATAAAAATGAATGAATGATACCACCACTGCCAAAAATAAGAACCTTGGTGATATGTTACTTACTAAATTAAATTCCATAAAGAAGTGTCAGTCTATTACAATTTAAAATATTTAAAACAAAATAAAAAATATGTCACAACGGTTCTGCCACGCAACCGCGATGGTATCACATTATTTAAAAATAAAAATAAAAATAAAAATGTGCGACTAAATGTTAAAGAATAAAACATTTGACACGTAAGTATATTACAATTTAAAATATTTAAAACAAGTCATAACGGTTGAGTTACTCAACCGTGGTGGTATCAAATGTTAAAGAAATGTTAAAAATACAAAGGTGCAACTAAATGTTACAAGAAACAAAACACTTAAGGGTGCTGAGATTCGAACCCATGAAAGGGTGATTATATAATCACGGTCGTATGTTTCATCCGTGATTATATCATATCAAAATATTCATAAGTAAGTAAAATAAAATTATCGCGTGTTAAGTAAGACATGTCATCACGGTGGAAACTTAACCGTAGTAGAATTAATGTTACTGAAGGTGTATTTTGTAGTAGTGTATAAAATAACGTGAGATGAACGATGAGTTGGTAAAGTATCCCCGTCATTGAGGACCATGGCCATCTTTAAAACCCTCATCAGGGCTGTCGCGTTCTGAGCTAGTGCTTTCCTCATGTCCGCCTTGTCGAGATTTAATATTGCATATGACTCGGCCTGATTCACGGCCAAGGAATGGCCCCCCTCGAAGAAACCTCTATTGAGATGGCAGGGGGTAACTCGAACTTCTCTCTAGTACCATCCGTGGTAAGATTAATGGCCTCGGTTTCTTCTGCGTTGTGCCTTTTCTTGGTCGGAGAGCCCCTTGGAGGGGGAGACTGGCTTCCTGACAATGAAGAAGAGGTGTCAAGGCCGAAGTCCACCTAGGATTCTACTAGAATCTGAATGACCCAGGTCTTGGGATCTTTTTTGCTTGCCTTGGCCACAACAAGCTTGACGATGCAATCTTGAAGATTGGTCATTTTACCTGCAAAAAAGACGAACAAGGGTTACATACTTAGGAAAAACAAGCACATGAGCAAGGTAAGAAAAAAATCTACTAAAAACGTTAAAGCCTCCATAATAGTAGGACAATTAAGGAGGTCCTTGCTATTGATGAGTAAGACCTCGTAAACATGTTGGTCGTCGTCGTCGATGATAGCGCTACCATTTTTTGTCACACACTAACTGGGCACGAAGTTGTCCACGAACGCCACAATTTTGGTGTAGGCAAGTTGATCCTCAGTATCCAGCTCGTTGGGCTTGGTAAGATAGTAGTTCGTGCCCTTGCTGAAATGGGTCTTCTCTCAATAAAGGGCAAACCTTGCCGCCAGCTACATCACCTCTTCCCCATCTTCATCACGACATATATTGTCATCATCCTCGAGCGCTACCACACGCTCAACACGGAGTCGATGGTTGCATCCGACACAGTTTTAGCTAGAAAATACCTATCTTTAAAGGTACGAACAAAGTCCATGTACGTCTTGAACAGCTTCCTCGACTGCTTAAAGGACACCCAGTTATGTTTTTTCGTTTGAGGATTGTCGTTGCAGGTGGAAACAACGGAATAACAATGGAAGGTTGACGTTGACCTCGAGATATCGACATATGATCTCGAAGGCTCGGATGAATGCAATCACATTTGGATGCAATTGGGAAGGTATCAACTCCAGCCGAACAAAGATCCCCATCTGAAGGTCGGTGAACGGCAAGCGCAACCCTAACTTCCAAAAAATCCTTTTTCCAAAGAAGTAACTCCTCATTTCCATGTATATGGCCATATTTCCATAGACTTGTTCTTCAAATTCACAACAGTTAAAGGCGTTGAGCCTTTAGACTAAACAACTCTCTTATGTAAGTGATCCTTGCAAGCCTCGACTCTAAGGTTGTACTCAAAATCCTCTGGAATTTTAATCACAAGTTTATCCCCTTTAAAGTAAAAGGATTGGAATTTGACTCTGAGAAATATTATAAACATTGTTTGAGACAATAGAAGACAAATATTTTTCACTTTACTGATTTGTTTTCTTCACATTTAAAATAAAATTATGGTTTGAAATAAAGCTGTGGATTGTTCGTGTTTTTTTGAAATAAAACAATTGTGTCCATGGCGGAAGAAAGAAGAAGTATAGCAGAATAAGGTGCAGAAACCATGAACAATTGAGCTAGTGAAAACAATGCATTGTTGGCAAAACGCATCATCTTCAAGTATCATATGTTCCTTTACGTTTTAATAGTTTGAGAGTAAGAATTGAATCTAAAAATTAGTTCATCCAATCTTCCAACTCAAAAATTTATTAAAATATCAATAATGTTGCATTTGAAGCAAAGTTGACACATATAACACAAATTTTAAATTTGATATTTTTAAAATTACTTATTTATAAATATTAATAACTTATTTACTATCAAAATGTTATAAATAATATGCAACATCTTTTAGAAGTGTTTAGTAAAAGATTAAAATACAATTAAAATATAATTATATTATACCATCATATCTATATGTATCTCATCAAAATAAACAATGTCCATTTATAGATATTTTGGTCAAATTTATGATTTATAATTTTAAAATTTTAATAATATCATATTTTTGTGATATCTTAATTTAACATGATAATAAAATATTACTATTATTTTTGAAATATTATAGTTTTGTTGAAATTGATTAAATATAAAATTTTAGAATATGCATATTTTATTATAAAAGAAGTATATGAAAAAATTGCCAAAAATAAATCATCAAACCGGGTTATCCACAACCCAAAGACAACCCCATAACAGTTAGTTGTAGTTTGCACTTGCACAAAAATTACAACTGTGTTTCAAAACCTCATCCTACGTGTCAACCTTTTATTGGTTGAATGAGCTGCCCAGTCCAATCACACATCGACATATAACTATTGCCAACGACACCGTTTCCGGTTTACAAAAAATCACAAAACCATAATAAACAAAAAAAAAAAAAAACGCAACACTTTCGTTGAAATAAAAAACTCTCCGTTCACCTCTTCATCGTTGTTCTGTCTCTCTTCCTTTCCGAAATCTTTTTTTTTTCTTCATCTAATTAATCTCAGAGAAGTGAATCCAAGAAAGAAAGGTAGAATCTGTTTCTTATTTTTTCTTGAAATTGTTTTTTTTTTTTAGGGTTTTAGAGAAGCTTTTAGAGAAGCGATGAGATTTAATTTGAATTAATAATTGTTTTTTTTTTTTGGTGTAGATGGGATTGAGGGAAAATATATTGGGGTTTGTTTTGATAGTGGCGTTGTTGAAAGTAACAGAAGGGATCAGATTTGTGATAGATAGAGATGAGTGTTTCTCGCATGAGGTTAAGTACGAGGGTGACACTGTTCATGTTTCTTTCGTTGTTATTAAGGCTGATTCTCCTTGGCATTATGGTGATGAAGGCGTTGATCTTGTGGTATGTTTTGTTTTCTGAATTCTCAATTTCGTTCATTGTAGCACTATTTACATCATAGAGTTTAGAGGTGATTATAATAAGAGTATGGATTAAACCCTATGTGATGTGATTGACTATAATTCTAGGTTGTTTTATTTGTTTGATTATTTTATACGCAATTGTCATTTGTTTTATCTTAATTTTGAGCTTATGAAGGGGAAGAATGAGAATTCAAAGATAATTTCTTGTTCACTTTTTAAGTTGAAAAATAGGTTGAGTTACTTGTGTTGCTCTTGGAAGGAATAGAACTATAGGTACTACACAATCATAGATGAATACAAAGTAAAAACCAATAATAGGTAATGTTTGCTAGTAAATGTTAGATTATAATGCAAGGCAAACGGGCAACAAGTTGTGCTGCTATCACTTTTTGGATGGAGAAATCAATCCTCTTAAAAACTATGTTCACTGCCCTAGGAGACACAACATTGCTATGAATGAGTCTGTGAAGTCTCGGTAAAAGATACACGGTCTCTTTTGCCAGGAAGCCACAAGTGTCAAATGCAAATGCTAATGCTATGAAAGCATGTTGATTGTTCGAATGCGCTTTCTCGTGTTTGACCACTTTACTTGAGGTGGCTTTGAGGGCTGCTTGTTCTATCCATACTTGAATCCCTAACAAAGTCATACCTATACTCAACTTCTGGAAGCTCGGAAGCTCCCTACTATGAAATAGGAACCGCTAGTAAATCAAACCTAAGAGGGACAAAAGAAACTATTGCTTGTCTTTTTAACCATTATCATGCCAATGTTATTATTGATGGTTAGGAGATAACTTCATGGTTTAGAACAATTAACGTTGTTTTTAGAAAGAGAGTGCTTGTAAGTCTATAAGTTTATATCTTGCGTACTATCTTTACGTTTAGGTATCAATTTGTGTAATTGTGTGCTACTTTCCATATCTTTTGACATATATACAAATCCACATCTTTACCAAACAATGCTAGAATTAATAATCTTTCTTTGAGTTTATCTTTTTCCTTAATATCTCCAAACATGTTAGATTTTGAATCTCATTTCATGAAAATGTGGGAATTTCAGGTAAAGGGACCTGTTGGCGATCAAATTCAAGATTTCCGCGACAAGACCAGTGAAAAGTTTGAGTTTGTGGCTCACAAATCAGGGGTGCATAAGTTCTGTTTCACTAACAAATCTCCTTATCACGAGACCATTGATTTTGATGTGCATGTCGGTCACTTCTCTTACTTTGAGCAACACGCAAAAGACGGTAATGTTCTTCGATTAAACTCACTTGCATCTTGTCATTGTTTTTACTTTTGTTGTCTAGTATAAAGCTCTTTGAGTTGCATGAAATTGAAACTTATGTGATTGAATGCAGAGCATTTCAACCCTTTGTTAGAGCAAATAGCGAAGTTGGAAGAAGCTCTTTACAATATTCAGTTTGAACAACATTGGCTAGAAGCTCAGACCGATCGCCAAGCAATAGGTATTATTTGAAGTTTACTTTCAGTTTATCTAAAAATTTACATTTTTCCTGGACATAAAGATAAATGCTTAGTTGGTATATACCATGTGGTTTTAATCAATACAATGTAGCCAAACTTCGTGTCCCAATCTGCAAGCATCTTAGTTCTAGTCAGCTACCACGCCAAACAAACCGATCGGTTAAGAATTTTTTTGCTATCTCTTGTTAGTGTTTGCAACTTACTTGCTTCACTTGTAGTCAAAGTTTACTTAACTGTCCCTTACTTAGGGAAAGGTGCCTTACTAGCATGAAATTCGGCTAGTAAGGCACATCTCCATGCTAATATCCAAATTCGGGTTTTTTTCGAACGGTTTATGCTTCTGATTCTCCTTAACCACCTTCTCATCACATGAATAAATGCTCATTCGGGCCATTCACCTATGAGCTATATTTTCCTGCATTCTTTCTTAGATGAATGAACCATGGAAGAATATGAAGCCATCTTAGTTTATAAAAGCTACAAACTTGTTTTCTCTTACTTTTTTTGTGTGAAATGCAGTGAATGATGGGATGAGCCGAAGAGCAGTTCACAAGGCAATCTTTGAATCAGCAGCACTGATTGGAGCTAGTGCTCTGCAAGTCTATCTTCTTCGACGTTTATTTGAGCGAAAGTTGGGAAACTCTAGAGTTTAGAGTTAGAACATGTTCTGAGAATCTGTAACATTATGAATCTCAATGTTATTTTAAACTTTTTGTTTATTTACTCTCATGACATTCATATTTTTACTTCTGGTTTACTTTGCCTTCAATATATTTCTGAAAAAATGTTATTTATTGTTAATTACAGTTTACTTCCCGTTTTTAAGAAAAACGGAGCACGTTTATGTATTGTTAGATTAGTTCTTCCTTTCATACGAGGGATGGCAAAACAGATCGTGCGGATCACTTGAAAGAATAAAGCAATTATACCAGCATGAAATGTAAATCATAAGGCTTCAAAATTAGGTAGAAGCAGCACTGTTACAATAGAAAGTACAGTTGATAAAAAGTTTGAATCCAACATGTAATGTAATATCTGATCATTATTATTATTTTCCCAAGTTCAAAGATTCTAGCAGTACAACCATCATAGCTATAATGAAGCTCTAGATTTCTGGAAATTATGTTGATTTCCAAAGCCTTATGATTCTCCGCCAGACGGACTTACGCAGCAAAACCATTTTTTCTGCAAAAGTTTAACAAGACAGAAAAATTACACACAACAAAATCCATGTTATAAAGGGAAAGTTAGTAGTTGAGATAGGTAGAAGAGTTGGTTAGCTAGAGGAATTCAGTTTGAAAAACAGTAGAAATGTTTTGATTTGAAAATTCTTGAATGAGAAATCACCCTCCTATTCTCAACCATTCAATAACAATTTTCTTTCCGTTTCCCTCTATGATCCATATCATTATCGCACTATGTTCGTATCAATGCAATTCGGCTTTATCGTCTTCTTAAATGAGAGATGATCATATTGAAGTTATTGTAGTATTTTTAGTTTTTTAACACTAATTTCCAGGCTAGTTTTGGCAGAAACAATGGCACAAGGACAGAAGTGATACTAAAAGGGTTTTCTTGACTCAAATCAAACACATTACTGAGACACACTTGCTTTAATCTCACTCCTTTTCAATGTCTCTTTCACCAATAACATCTTAAACTAAAAGAGCAAGGGAAAGATATAGGAAAGGTGATAAGTGTCTAATAAGAAGCTGAGGACAATAATTTCCTAAGATTCAGTTTGGCAAGACCATTTTCCGAGCTATGCTCAAAGAAATATCTGTTTAGTCATTTTCTCACGAGCTTATAATTTATTTTTGCTAGTTTATAATTTTTCTTTTCAAACATATTCCTATATTATTGCTATGAGATAAGAGTTTGAATAAGAAAATTAAACTATCTTAGTACAATAAGATATAGAGCTAGCAAGGGCTATTTCAACATAATTGAAAAACCAAAAACTCTTCAAAATTTGAATATGCAATAAGAAAAGAAAAACAATACAAGGAGTTTTTATAAACTTTAAAGTTGGATTGTTGATGAAGATTTGAGTTCGAGAGTGTGCTCCTCTCAAGATCTATGATTCGAATTCTACTAGATAGTAACAATTTTTGTGTTAAATCAGTCCATACATAGCAACAAAGTGGACGGTGGTGGGATTAGGCACATTAACATCAAAATATTGTATGTATATATGTTTATCTGTATCTTATATTTTTTTTAACTAAACAGAAAAACCAAAAACACTTCAAAATTCGAATATGCAATAAGAAAAAGAACGCTATATGAAGTTTATATAAACCCCAAGGTTGGTTTATTGGTGAAGATGTAGATCCTAAGAATGTACTTCTCTCAAAATCCGGTTCGAATTCTGATATGTAATAACAATTCTTATGTTAGATTAGTTCATACTTTCATATTAGTAAAGTGGGCGGTGGTGAGGATGGACACATTAACATCAAAATATTGTATGTACATCATACCATATATATTTATCTCTATCTTATATTTTTCCAACCGAACAAAAAAACCAAAAACACTTTAAAATTCTAATATGCAATAAGAAAAAGAACACTACAAGAAGTTTTCATAAACCCCAAGGTTAGCTTGTAGGTGAAGATTTAGGTTCTGAGAATGTACTTCTCACAAAATCTGTGGTTCGAATTTTAATATGTGATAATGATTCTTATGTTAGATCAGTCCATACATACATAATATAATAGTAAAGTGGTCGGTGGTGGAACTTGGCACATTAACATCAAAATATTGTATGTATGTAACACCATATATATATATATATATATATATATATATATATATATATATATATATATATATATATATATATATATATATATATATATATATATATATATATATATATATATATATATATATATATATATATATATATATATATATATATATATATATATATATATATATATATATATTTTTTTTTTTTCTTCCTACAAACTAGACACGTATATAAGTAAAATTGTAGAAAAGGAAAGAAAGAACATACAGATTGAGGTTTGCCAAGAACAACTTGATTTTTATATTTGGTTTTATGATAATCCTTTGATGGTGAATCAAGCTTAACACCAGTCTTCTTCTCATTCCTAGCTTTGTTGAATATCACAGTATATCCCTCAGCTGATGCTGGATCATTTACATCCCATTCTCCAAACTTTGGCAATGGAACACCCTTTTCCTGCACAAAACCATATTCATATTCAAAATGCCACAATAGGATCAAATTCAAAAACATGACATATATAATGGAAATGGAAGCAATATCATACCGCCATGGATTTGTCAAAGTAACAATGACAAATCCACCAGAAGAAGACAAAGATGAGTTGTGTAACTTGAATAAAATCACAATGTCATTTTAATTTTTTTTTCTCTAAATTTGTGGGTGGAGCTTATAGTTTCTTCCAAATTCTACTATTTTAGGCCAGCCAACCAAGCTCCACCATCCATCAACCTTGATTATTTATCACTATGATTTTTTGAGATATTATATTATTAATATGATGTAATGCAACGATTTCTTTTTTGTTTGTTTCTTTTTATCTTTCTAATAATATTTATAAATTTAATTTTTATCTTTTCTTTAAAGAATTATTTCATACTTTGGAAAGTAAATTAGTTAATGTTATTTTTAATTTTTCTAATAATATTTATAAATTTAATCTCTCTAATAACAAATCACTTGAAAAATCGTAAATGTTTAATTCTCAGACCGGAGGAGTAGTCATTGGTCGACGTGGACATGGTGCCTTAGCCTTCACGGTTTGGATGTTAGTCGAGAAGTCGGTGTGTCAGAGAGTGTCGAGATTCTTTTTCATTCAAGAGTAAGAGCTTAGAATGGATTCTGGATTTTTTTGGATTGAAAGGTCCACGACTCTCGCATGACAAAGTGTAGAAGCTTGGGAGAGGCTTGTTTGTGCAAAAAAGAATGTCAATTGTAGTATAACTTTGTGTTAACAAAAATCACAAAGTGTGAGTATATTTAAATCTTATCCATAGTGATTGTCATTAATTCAATAAGATTAAGGAGGATTTACTTGATACTTGGAGAAACTCCATTATATCATTTCAAGAATATTTTATATTTTCTTGACAGTTTTACAATGATGAATATAAATACTTTTTACTATCATCTAGAGACTTTACTCTGAAGTTTTTGATTTTGAAATATATTTTAAACTTTCTCATTTCCTCTCTTTCCAAAAATAATTAGGTTTATCTATTATTTTTTTATTTACTTGATAAGTAGGGATAAATAGACCATTGACTATAGTTTGCCATAATTCATTATTTATACTTTGAATATAAATTCTAAACTTAGTTTGCCATATATTAAATCTACTATTATTAAAGAGTGGTGGTGTGTTTAGAAAAAATCTCTTGTTGGAAGTCATTTTTTTCTTGAGACGATTAGTCTTTACATATGAATTAGGTTCTAATGCCACTTGCTGAACATGTGAAGTGTGAACACACAACACGAGGGTGAATTGTGTGTTTCGGAGAAACATGAATTTGAAAAACTTTTTAGATCAAAATTAGAGTTTAAAAACATTTTAAAAAGGTTTGAAAGTTATTCATCAGAAATATAAAATTCAGAGAGTATAGTACGGAAAATAAAAAATAAGGGAAGAGACAAGACATCAATAATTATAGAGGTTCGGTCAAAAGAAAAAGACTTAATGCTCTCCCTAATAATTGTTTTTTAGTGTATCCAATAAATTTAAGAGGTTTTAGTTGGTTGAACTCTTGAACCCCCTTATATAAGCAATCCCTAAATAGATGAAATGTTCAATCAAGAAAAAAACAAAAACTTCTTTTGCGAACTTACAAATCTACCTTTCTAGAATTACAACTTTTTCACTCGCAAAACGACTATCTCAAAAGCGCTACAACTAAATTTTTAGTGAGAGAAATTAAACAAAAGAATTTAGAGAGAGAGAGAGAGAGAGAGAGAGAGAGAGAGAGAGAGAGAGAGAGAGAGAGAGAGAGAGAGAGAGAGAGAGAGAGAGAGAGAGAGAAATATGTTAGAAGAAACTTATATTTATAGAATAGAGGTTGACACAAAAATGAGAATTTTTTAATACCGTAAAGAATATGTCAATCGATTGACATTATTTACCAATAGATAGGTAGACCTAAAATTAATCGATTAGTAAGTTAAAAAGGATAAGAAAAGATATTTAGTAGTTTCCTAGCATTAAGATGTTGTCATAATCGTATAAGTCTTATTTTTGAACTGACCCATCAATTGGGTTAAGGTGTCAATCAATTGGAAAAGACAATAAATTTTCAAGAGGTTTTCTTACAACTCCCATCTCAGAGGTTTTTTGAAATATCTCTATCAACTGTTGAGTTCAATTGCATAAGTATTAGCTCGACAACACCGCTATATGTCGTTTCTCTACATTTTTTTCTTTTTTTCTTCTATTTCTTATATGTTAATTCTTTTTTTTGTTTGTCATCGTAACTTTCATAGTAAAATATAATTGAATTTGTGAGGTTATGATGATTTTAACTTAAATTAATATTTTCAATGATACTTTAGAATCTTTATTAAAAATTACAAAAATAAAAATGTATTAATAATAAAAGTATTTAAAATAAAAGAAAATACTATTACAAACAAGATACGACTGACTGTCATTAGAGGTCTTACATACATAAGATATATGATTGAAGATTCGATCAGATATTTGTCAATCCTAAAATGATTTAAATCACATATTTTACCCATTCGAATTGGATGCAGTTTTGATTCAAATCACTCAAAAAGCTGATTTGTTTCAAAGTTGGAATTAATTTTTTTGATTTCGGTTCTTTCAAAGTGATTGAATCATATAATTATTTGACTCGAATGAGTGATTCAAATCCCCAATTAAACCTATAATGGTTCTTCTTAAATCTATGCATAACCCTCTTTATTATTGCCACTGCATACTAACATAAATGTTTGATTAAACTTCACCAAGAGTGCTGTATACAAATGAAGAATCATAATTGAAGTCTTAATACAACAACAACCAATTTACACCAAACCCAAATAAATATAAAAAGAAAGTAACACAAATTAAGAATGAACCATTATATTATATGCATGAGCTATGAGTTGAATTCAAACATTGGAAGCAAAGTTTGGTTTGGAATGTGACTCAGGTAAGGTAGCACCTGGTGGTGGAATTGGCATACCATAAACTTGAGGATTAGTGAACACTTCACGTCTTCCTCTAGCTCTGCCAAAGAAGTAACAACCAAAACCAAGAACAAAGCAGAAGAAGATTAAAGGAAGAGAAATTACCACAACCATTCCCATCTTGATTTTCTATGTTTTCTAAGATTGTGTGTTGATTTAGAGAAGAGGTTTTTGAGAGTATTTATATGATGGTGTTTTTGATTCTTACAGAGAAAGTGTTTTGTTGTAATAATGAGGGGCTTAACGTTCAAGTTTGTAACGGACACTTTTTCAATAGCTGTCTCTGTCCTTTCTTCTAAAATGTTCCTTTGCCTTTAACTTTAACGTCACTCTTGTTTTGTTTTATTTTAGAATACAGATCAATTCATTGTTTTTGTTTGGTTTTATTTTTTTTTTTTGCATAGTTTGTATGTAAATATTCTTCATATCTTTTATATTCTAAAGAAAATATTCTATAGATTAAAAACGTACATTTTCAAAAAAAAAAATTATTTTAAAGTTTTAAACAGTGTGCACTCTTTAGCATTTCCTTATATATATAAAATTTTATTTGTACTTAATCTTTTAAATATAATTGATTTTAAAAACTACCTATGGAATTTTTACTTTTACATAACTTATATAGCAATTATCTGCAATGAAAAATTAGTTTTAGATGTGAATTGTTGAAGATAAAGAAGATGAAAATGGAGTAAGAGAGGAGAATAATAAATTCTAACAAGTTTTTAATACTATGTTATTACAGTTACAGTAAAATGGTGGCGCACATACTGCACTACGATATTCAGTGGATATAACTGTTGACAATTACAGAATTATATATACACAAATAAAAGTGTCATGTAGGTTACATATTAAAATTTTGAATTACCCTTCAACACCATCCCTTAATTCAGGATTTTAATCAAAACTAACATCAATTTCATCCCTCAAGTGGAGAAATTGACCAGTCTTGATTGGCTTTGTCAGAACATCTATCAGCTGCTTCTAGGTGCTACAATGCACAACTTCTAGCACTTCATTCTGGACTTAACTTCTCAGGAAATGATATTTCGTCACAATATGCTTACTTCTTCCATGCAACACTGAGTTCTTGACAAGATTGATTGCAGACTTGTTATCACTCATCACCTTCAGAGGCTTATTAAATTCAAGAGGCAAACAACTTGACATGCATCTACAACACCTGCAATTTACTCAGCTTCACATGTTGACAAAGTAACAACTAGTTGCTTCTTGGAACATTAAGAAATAGAACCTTCCAGATACTTAAACAAATATCCAGAAGTACTTCTTCTGTTAACTTTGTCTCCACAAAGTCGAAGTAGCACATTAGCTCTGAATTAGCCTTTCCTCCAGAAGGGAACAAAATTCCATACTTCAAAGTCCTCTTAATATACCTCAGAATCCTGACAACAACTTGGTCGTGAGACCATTTCGGTTTACTCATGAACCCGCTAACCATTCCAACTGCATAGCAAATGTCAGGTCTGGTATTGCACAAATACCTCAGAGAACCAACTAACTGCTTGAAAGTTGTAGCATCAACATCATCACCCTCAGGATCAGAACCCCAAAAGTACCACCTTCAGAGGCATGACCACCTTCAGAGTCTGGAACATTCCTAGAGTTTGGATCACCACCAGAGTCTGAATCACCATCAAAATATGGATCAAAATCAAATTCACCTTCAGAGTTTTCTTTAGCTTCATAGTCACTTTCAAACTTTGGCTCATTTTTAGGCTCACCTTCAGATTCTGAAGTATCTTCGGAATTTAACTCAGGTGTTAACGCCACACCAGAGATGGATTGAGATTCACTCCAATCCCACGCCTATGATTCTTTCACAATAACATTTCTTCTTAATTCAACCTTGTTAGTAATAGGACATTAAAGCTTATAAGCACTTGTACTGTGGTACCCTATAAGCAACATGACTCTACTTCAGTCATCCAACTTCCTTCTCTTAGCATCCGAGAACATGCTTATAACTCACAGAACCAAACACCTTTAAATGGCTCACACTTTGCTTATCTTCAGTCCACTTCTCTAAAGGAACAATTTCCTTCAGCTTCTTTGTTGGACACATGTTGAGCACATATGCTGACGTGGCAAAAACTTCTCCCCACAATGTGTGAGGGCACTTCTTCTCCTTTAGCATGCTCCTCGTCATATCAAGAAAAGTTAGGTTTCTTCTTTCAGCAAGACCATTATGTTGAAAAGTGTACGGAGCAGTCACATCATGCTTAATTCCATCGTCCTCATAAAACTTTCTAAACTCAGTAGAGTTATACTCACCTCCACCATCAGTTCTGATAATCTTCAAAGTTTGACCACTTTGATTATCAACCTTGATTTTGAATTTTTTTAAATTCAGCAAACACCTCGTGTTTGAACTTTATAAAGGATACCAACATTATCCTTGTGAACTCATTCATAAATGACACAAAATATTTATTCCTTCCAAGTGAAGGTACTGGAAATGGTCCACACACATCAAAATGCACCACACCCAAAGCATGTTTTGCTCTTGGAGGCCTTTTAGATGCAAATGACAGTATTGGTTGTTTCCCCCTCATGCACACATTGCATAACTTCTCTGACTTCTTAATTGTAGGAATTCTTTGTACCAACTTCTTTGAATTCAGATGCCCTAAACTTCTGAAGTTCAAATGACCAAATATTTTGTGCCACAAATCACTTTCCTTCACAACACTTGTTGCACCAAGGCATTTAGAGTATGCAGTTTTAACATTCACTTTGAGTGTTCTATTCCTTCTCTGTTCTGACTTCATAATCAACTTCTTATTACAATCATACAACTTCAAAAGATTGTCTTTCATGGTAATTGAAAAAACTTTCTCAATTAATTGGCTTACACTCAGATTGCTTTTCATGCTAGGCACATACCACACATTCTGAATCAATGTTGTTTTACCATTATTCATAACTACTCTGACATTTCACATACCTTCATCCTTGAGGTATTTATCACAAGCCCATCTGATCTTTGTCCTTTTTCTAGAGTCAAAATCAACTAGCCATTTCTTGTTTCCAGTAAGGTGATTTGAGCAGCCATTGTCCATATACCACCAGTCTGTCAAATATGCATTGTCAGATTCAGAAGCCATCAATATCACAGATTCATCATCATAATCTCTTCTAGCTATGTTTGCTTCTTATAACTTCCTTTCCTTGTTTGACCAACAATCAGAAACGAAGTGGCCAAACTTCTTACAATAGTAACATTGGATCTTTCTCTTATCATACTTCTCATTCTCCTTTTGAGCACTCTTCTGCCTTCCAGAGGTTGAGGTTTTTGACTTTTGAGACATACCATGTCTATTCTTGGCCTCTAACCAAGATTATTATGCTCCTTATAAAAGAAGCTTTCAGAGCTTGCTATACCTCTCTCTTAGAGGTTCTTTCAGTCAGACGTAACTCTTATGCCTATGAACTACTTTGTAGCTCTTCTATTCTCAAGGTGCTCAGATCCTTAGAATGTTGAATTGCTACAACAATGTAATCAAACTGAGGAGTAAGAGAATCTAAGTACTTTCCTAATGATCTTTTCTTCACTGAGAGTTTCTCCACACGACATCATCTCATTTATGATTAGAGTCACTCTAGAGATGTAGTTAGGTACCTTTTCATTGCTCTTCATGTTGATATTCTCATACTACTTACGTAGAGATTGAAGCTTCACATTTTCACTGATGCATCACCGCTGTAGCATCGTATCAGTATGTCCCACACAACCTTCACCATCGTCGAATTAACGATTTTCTCAAACACTTTCGCATCCACAAATGATGGATGTAGAACAACGCCTTCTGATCCTTCTTCTCCCGATCACGTTGAGCATTCCTCTACGCATCCATTGCATTTTCTAGAAGTGAAACCGAAACGTAACCGCCGTTGATGAGACCAAGAACATCTTGAGCGCCAAACAACACATGCATCTGAATTGTCCAACGATTCCAGTTCTTGCCATCGAACACTGGAAGCTTGGTACTCAGATTACCATTTCCATTCATCTTTGACCTTGTGCAGTTCCCAAACCTGCAGAATTAAGAAATGTGATTCTATTACGATTTCAATCGAGAAATGAAATCAATCATACAACGTCTCACCATTCACTCGTATTTCCCTATGGGTTTGAACTGGAGCTCTAAATATCAATTGTTGGTGCACAAGGTGTAAAAAATGAAGATGGAGGAAGAATGATCAGTGTATTTTAATGCACATTATCTTATGTTTGTACTCAGGCATTTTCTTAGTTTGTTTTGTTTACTTTACTGTTTTATTATGTTTTTAGAACTAAGTCTTTGTTTTCATTTAATCTATTTTGGCAGCTTATTTTAAGTTTTAGCGGTTATTTGATACATGTCCACTGTTCGAATCATAACTGGAGCTATGATAATCAGATTTACACGTTCTACGTACTAGGCGTTAGAAAGCTGAAACAAAGGGCTACAACTTTCATGTTTTACAGAGAAACTAGTTCGAAGTGTAGCTAGCTCTAATAATTAGTTGAAGTCAGGACCCAAATTCTACCTTTAGGAATACTTAGTTTTGGACTGGTTTTTTTTTAAAATGTTTTTCGACCCTGTTGGGTTAGATCTGGATTTTGTTATGCTTCCCTGTACCTAGTAGCAACCGTTCTATTGATCGTAATCTTTCACGAATTTTACTTTTGCTTTTGTACAAATTTTATGGAGAACTAACTTCTTCAGGTTAATCTGTTGTAATCGGTTTCCACCAACACTTTGAGGTTCTTTTAATTTCCAATAAAATCTATTTCTTTTCAATTCTTCTCTGTGATATCTTGTTTGCTTAATTCTATTTATCTTAGGGGTGATTGATTTATTTCAATGATTGCATGTTCTTATACTTTAATCGCGTTTGTTTAATCCGCGTATGTTTCTCGTGTTTGCTTAATTCACGGTTAATATATCTCATCAGTTTGCTTAATTCGGAAATTAGAAATATGTATCGTATAATATAAATTGCGTTTGTTTGATTGTTATTATAATCGAAAGGGGGATATAGTCCGTTTTGGAATTGAGAATTATTTGGATCGATGATAAGTTGGGAAATTAAAATAGTAGATTGATTGTTTAAGCTTATTTTAATAATCACTTTTTTTTATAATCACATATTTTTAGTATTTTTTTCTCTTAATCAAAATTCAAACTCCCATAAACTGTTATTTTTTTTTGTTAATAACAATACAAGAATTCTTGCGATACGACATCCGAATGTCGCTTCCTTTTACTACTTTTTCAAAAATACTCGTATTTTATTCGTGTGCGACAGCGGATCAAAGAGAGAAGAGGAATAACAAATTCTAACAAACTTCCACTACTATGTTAAAACGGTTACAACAAAATAGTTGCACACACAGTACACTACAATATTCGGTGGATATAATTGTTGACTGCTAAAGTATTATATATACACAAATAAAAGGGTGACGTAGATTAAATATTAAAATACTGAATATTTTTTAGCAAATAGATTATGATTAAAAATAAATTAAATATAAAAATAATTTATATTTAAATGTATCTATATATGAGTAAGATGAAGAAGAATAAATTTTTGTTTAAAATTATATTTGAACTCAAAAGCCATATATCATAACTTCTAGTTAGAATCAATTTGAGATGGCAAAAATCATTTCTAGCCGATAACAACTAAACTTAATAAATTCAATTTTATACTTTCAGAATTAGTTTCAGAGCTTTCAAATGTGGATTCAAACATAAACATAAATATGATAGACACGCTCTTTTCAAAAAAGTTAAAATTAGACCAATTTATACTTTCAGAATTAGTTTCAGAGCTTTCAAATGTGGATTCGAACATAAACATAAATATGATAGATACGCTCTTTTCAAAAAAGTTAAAATTAGACCAAACATTAAATTGGTGAGGACTTTGATTCAAGATTCAAACATACATTTAAACTGTACATATAACAATAATACAAAATAACAAAATTTTCCTAATTACATACTACTTCATAGTTTCTAATTTAAATCTCTCATATATTAGTATAAAATAAAATATAAAATAACTAAGCGTTTTTTTTTGATAAATAGAAGTAGGCACTTTCAAAGATTGACAAATATGATATGCTATATTATTATTTTAATTTTTAATCTTAAACAAAGATATGAAGAATATTATTTATTTATTTATTTTTATTCTATATCTTGTATATTTTTCCATGTAGCTTATTTTCCAACATGTTATCATAATCTTAATCTATTACACCTTTACAACCAATATTCATGTTGGGTTAGTTTTATGTCACTACCAATTAGTATTACTTATGACAAATATAGTATTTTGTTAAATGTATATAAACCAGAACAATAATAAGTGCCAACAGTTTGCTTATTTTTTTTGGGTCATTTCAGTTTTAAACACAACCATTTGTAAAGCACACGAATCTGTGTAATCTTGTGATCTGAATAAGAGGTTTGAAGAATTATTCATCACATAGCAAGGTATACCAGAAACTTATTGCAGAGAAAATGAAAATCTAAATGATATGTCTACTTTGCTCCTAAGAAATTTCAACTTTAACAACATCTCAGACTTAAATCTAACACCTAATTTTTCATGCTTTCCTTTTTGTCACAATTTGAACGTAGCATAAAGCTGGCTCTAAAACAACAACTACCAAATATGAATTACGTTTACACGAGCTCAAGAACAAGGGCAGAAGCACCACCTCCTCCGTTGCAAACACCACCGACACCATATTTTCCATTTTTCTGCTTCAGTACCTGTATGCAGTGACTTTTAGATTAATTGAATTAAAAGAACAACCAATATTATCGACGACATTGATCATGAACACATGCAATTGAAGTTACATGATGAACATACCCCCAAAAGTGTCACCAGGATACGGGCGCCACTGCAACCAAGAGGATGACCCAATGATACAGCTCCACCATGTACATTTATTTTTCCCTGCAAAGTAATAGTTATTTGAGTAGAAGGAATAAAATTTGTCGTGCAAAATAGTAGGCATTTGAATAAAATGAATAAACGGAAGTTTAGAGCCATTATTGGCTGTGATGAAGACAAATATGGGCTACAGACAAATTTTATACGTTCCATGGCACATAAAGGGGTGGGTTCTACAACAGCATGCCATCTTCAAGACACTCAATCAGAAATAGTTTACTATACAGACATCACCAGATTAAAACCTTCACATGATGACAAGGGATAAAACTCACCGAGTCTAATTCGAGAAGTTTCTGATTTGCAAGAGCCACAACCTACAGAGAAAAATCAAGGAATTAACACTCATGGCATCATAATTTGACAAAAGCTACTACACAATTAAAAGTTTAGCATGAAATCCTACCGCGAAGGCTTCATTAATTTCATAGAAATCAATTTGTGAAATCTCCAACCCTGCTTTGGAGATAGCTTTGGGGATGGCAATGGCTGGAGCTGTTGTAAATAACTCTGGTTCCTGTACAAATCACATGATACGAACATAAAGTAATACTGCCAACAGATACAACGCTACAAATAATGTGAATACTAATATGGTCAAAAGGCGTAGTACATATTTAAATGTTTTATGTACCTGAGCAGCATCAGCATATCCAGTAATTTTTGCAATGACCTGAAGACCAAGCTTTAATGCCTTGTCTCCACTCACCAAAACTAACGCAGCAGCACCATCACTGTCATTGAGAATAGTTTCACTTTCATAAGAAACCAGGGCCCATACCATAATAAAACTTACTAGAACATATATCAGATAATAACATTTAAGCATATAAACTAATGGAAACTCGAGATTCAGCACAATGAATACAATAAATTTGATAAGTCGTGAATATAACTGACTTCATGCTTCAAACAATAATCCCACAAAACCACTCGTGGCTTAAGGATATAGGCAAAAAATTGTCTTCTAGATGGTATTCTCTGATTTCTGTGTTTCTTAGAAGTGATAGTAGCAGCAGCTTAACATCAAACTGTGTGATTGATCATTCAATCAAACTGATAAATTACTCCAAATTGATACTGAAACAATTTATGGTCTCCCTCTTTCCCAACTAAATCACTCGACTCTCAATAATAAGTTCACATTAAACTACTCCAGTAAATCATGTTAAAGACCATGTAATTTATTACATTCTTTTTTTGACAAGAGCATCCAAATACGAACAGTTAAGCATAATACTGACACATAGGAAAAAATTAAGGCTGTTAAGCAAATTTGACAATATATCAACCTTATGCTAGAAGCATTGCCAGCAGTAACAGAGCCTCCAGTCTCCTTGAAGCTTGGTCGGAGTTTGCGTAACTTGGCAGCATCAAACTGGGATGGCAAAAGAAAAAAAAAACAATATATTGTATAAATTCTACCACAATTAAAAAAATGATTATAATAAGTTACTTAATTAGCAAATAGAAGTACCATAGATGTAAAATTTCTTCTTGTAGAAAAAAAAATAAATAACAAACTCCAATCCTACTCAAGATAAATTGTTTACATAGCAGACATAGAAGTAGTTACACAAGATACACATCACTCATGCAATAACTATATTTCTCATGCTGAGAAAACCTACATTCTTTTAACAAATTTTTAATACTTATGAAACTTAGATTACTGAAAATAAATAGAGTTCTGAGATGTATCTTGTAGGTATGTCATATGTACATAAGAATGAGTATTCCATGGTTCAAGTTATTTTAGTGGTTACCTTTCCTAGGCCCTCATCCTTGTCAACAATTGTTGATGGTCTTCCCCTTCCACCAGACACTTCAACCGGAGTGATTTCCCAAGCAAAGGAACCACTTTCTTGAGCAGCAATTCCGCGTTCAAAACTCTGAACTGCAAAATTATCCTGTGCGAAAAACGCAGATATCAGCAATAATATATAGAATGATTGTGCCAAAACCTATCTGAACAGAAATCAATAACAAAATACCTGGTCTTCTCTAGTTATTGAATGGTTATCCGCACAGAGCTCAGCGCACACTCCCATACCAACATCCTTATAGACATCCCACAAACCATCCTTCAACATCCCATCAACTAGTGAGTCGTGTCCAAGGCGGGATCCTTTTCTGAAATGTTAGCATTTAATCAGTTTATTTCAACAAAATAACTAATCTTAAGAAAACTATCAAGTACGCGTCAATATCAATATTGACCTTGCTTCTGCCAAGTACTTAGGTACACTAGACATGTTTTCCATACCACCAGCCACAACAACATCATTTATGCCCAGTTGAATACTCTGTGCAGCAAGCATTGTAGCTGCAGTTAACCAAGAAAGGTTTATTAACCTTGTTCATTCATTGAAATAATAAAAACTAAAAGATACCAAGAAAATAATCCTTGTTTATAGTACATTACACACCTTTCATTCCTGATGCACAAACTTTGTTAACAGTAGTGCAGACTACAGATTTGGATAGTCCAGCTCCAAGAGCAGCTTGTCTGGCGGGAGCTTGCCCCAAATTTGCACTAAGGACATTCCCAAAGAATACTTCTTCCACAAGTGATGGATTAACATTAGCTCTTTTAAGAGCAGCTACATATCAACAAAAACAGAGATAAGCATATCTTCAATTAGTTTCAAATATAATGAAATGATAACTGACACAATGCAGGTTAACATAATTACCTTCAATGGCTATAGAGCCAAGCTTCGTGGCAGGTACAGATGAAAGAGTACCAAGAAACCCACCCATTGGTGTTCGTGCAACACCAACAATGCAAACATCTGTACAAAACAAACTAAAAAGGTCAACTAAAACGAAAGACGTTCTGTGAGTCGCGGTTCTAAAGTAAAAGATATGAAAAATCAATGATTCAATTTTTCTTCTATGATTGCGCCTGATGGATTAAACGAATAAATATACAGAATAACATAACATTTGAATGACTCGGATAAACGGAATGCAAGCACAAGAAAATTTCAAGCCACAAAGTTTGATAATGACCTCTAGGCTGTATGGTGTCTGAAGATGCTGCTGTAGGAGCCATTGATAGATGAAAAATGAATCTGTAATCGAAAACATGATAAATAAATGTATATAAATTCATTTAACAAGCAAAGAAATGAATAATCAAGAATTAATTTCATATAAGATTGAGTGTAAGAAACATCAATAGTTATAATTGGCCTCAAATACACTCATACTGTAAGAAACATTTAACATTCAGGTTTTCTTGCCTTACTTCACATGATGTTAAATTAGCCCAATTTCTTGAAAAATAAAATGATATAAACAAACACAAGGAAGTGCCAAATTTTTTAGCGTATGTTGGATATAAGTTTCACTCGCCGCCACCACAAGTTTGGATCCATTTCACCGTCGAAATGGAGAAGCTACAACTCTAGCTTCTAACAAAACACATGCCTATAGAGTGTGTTTGGGAAAGAGAAAAATCACATTGCTAATGCACAGACGCTTGGAAAGTAAATATTTGAGAGTTGATTCAACGCGTGTTGAGCATCCTTGTAACATGATCTGAACACACTATTATTAGAAGTGTAATCAAGGTTTTAAATAACGGTAGTAGTCGCGTAAAGGCTTCGCAATTTTGGTTGGTATAGGTGTTGCGACAGTAATTACAGACGTCACAGTGTGAATTAACCACAATTTCTTCATTATCAAAAAAACGGTGAAAACGGTATCAGTATCTGCAACTTTCAATACCGTTTTGTCGAAGCCGTTTTCCCGGTAACAAACTGCTTTTTAACACCTTGAGTGTTATATTACTAATTAGACCTCTTTGCCTATATCTTTTTCGTTTCCTTTTTTTGCATACAATTGAAGTGAACCAAAACAGAACAAAAAAAATGCAGCTAATAAATTCAACAGAGTAAATAGAAATAGTGCGAACTAGTTGAATTATAAACCAGAAAAGCACTGAAAGATTATCAACTACTATTACTAATTCTTCTCAGCCATAGAATTTACAGATCAACATCATTGATCCATCAAAGATTGTCAATAACAATTTCAACTAAAAATTACGACTATCAAGAATCAAAACGAAATCAAAACGAAAACACGTGCATTACAATTTGAACATATTCAACTACTATTCAGAGTTAAACCTAACGATCACGAGTAACGATGAAATTATAAAGATCTAGAAGATAAAATTATGAATACATACAAAAATTAATTAATGCATCAAAGATTATAGTGAGATTAATCAAAGAGAAACTCAGATCTGAAAGAAATTGAGACGAACGGAAGAATGAAGAGTTTACCGTTAGGTTGAGGTGTTGTGGTGGTTGTTGAAGAAGTGAAGAACGAAAGAGAATGAATGAGAATTAGGAAGAAAAACGAAGGAGGGAAGGGTGAAGAAGTGAGTTGGTTTGAGTGTTTATATAGTGCCATGTGGGACACGCCACGAGTTGCACGCAAATTTCTTTCACGCAACCAATGGAAAAAATTTCAAGGATTTCTTAAAATCCAAAAATACTTAATTTTTAGAAATGAATTTACATTCAATACACGCTTTCCATTCGTTTGTAAGTTATATCTCATATTTTAAATTTATAAATAATTTTATTTTGAAAATACATTTTTTTAAAATTTTCAAAAATGTAACTCAATTACACACAAAAAAATTGTTACTAAATTATTAAATAAAAAATCAAATTTATAAAACGGTTTAAAATATCTCTTTTCTATATTAGAATTATTAAATTTCTTAATATATATGTATGAAAAGTAAAAAATAACTTGTAATAAAAAAAAAAGGTACTATGTTGCATTGCATGTCGGTGCAATATGAATGACACAATCCAACAATAAAGTTGGTATTCACATTTATTATGTATATTTAATGTAAAAGAAAAATTAAAATTTTTTCGAAAATGTAGTGATTTGCCTCACAATTTTTGTTGTGTAATTGAATTTCGAATTTTTTTTGGAGATTTATTTATAAAAGTTAAATATGATTTATAAATAAATAAAATATATATATTAAAATACGTATGAAGATGAATTTTTAAAAATTAAATATATTTTTAAATTTTTGTGTGTTGCTAAAAAAAATATAAGATACATAAAAAAATTCTCTTCATTCAATCAAAATCCATTTGTTTTCTTTTTTGTTAGTGTTATTTTAATTTTAAATTAAACCTTCCATTTCAATTTTGAACACAGTTATATGTTATTTAATTGTTCTATAACAATTGGACGATTGTGATTTGAGGAAATTTCTTTTTAATCATTATATATAATTTGAATTTGTATATTTAACACTGTTATATTAAGATCGAACAATTGTGTAATTAATACTTCGAGACGTTAATTAAAAAATTAAAATGATAAATTGAACATTTTTTAAAAGACTATAAATATATATATATTTTAAAAATATGCCTATTGAATAAATTGAAAATATAAATAATTAATTTTTTAATAAAATCTTATGTGTATCCAATAAATTAAATCTATATTTTTTTTTAAATCTGAAATTCTTATAAAGTATCCTAGGAGTACTTGTATGACCTATATAATAAATATATGATTGTGAGAAAAATTTATCTGTGGAGAATCTTCTTTAAAATTGAGGTTTAAAAAATTATCTTAGTTTATATTTTAATGATATAGATTTTGAGTTTAATAGTGTGTAAAATCAATTTTAGGTAAACTTGAAATTGAACTCGACTTTATCAGTAAACATGTAGTAACACATAGTAATTTATTGAAACAAGATAGAATTGAAAACAATTTTATCTAATTTTATTTTTGAATAAAAGTAAAGATAGAAAACTCATATTTAAAAAAAGGACCAAAATACTTTAGAAAGAGGACAAAATTTATAATGAAAACTCCAAATTGTAAAAAAGGACAAAAACTTCAATGAAACCAATTCAATCGTGCACTTGCTCCTATTTAAAATAAAATAAAACACTAAATAATAATGAATAGGGATGATAATTATACTTATTTTTAGTGTGTCGGTAAAAATTACTTATAATAGATAGAATAAAAATTTGCAAAAATACATACGAATACGAGCATAGATAATTATTCACTAAATAAGCGGGTATGAACGTGATACGGATATTTTAGGATCTAATCCGCCTCATACTCGCAATATATATATATATATATATATATATATATATATATATATATATATATATATATATATATATATATATATATATATATATATATATATATATATATATATATATATATATATATATATATATATATATATATATATATATATATATATATATATATATATATATATATATTATCATCGTCTAACAATTTTATTAACTATATCACTATTAAATTTTTATGCATTTTAATTTAAATATTTGTTTATTTCTTATCTCAACAATAACATCCTCTAAATTTTTAAAATATTTTTCAAAAATTAAAATGACATGATAAATTATAAATGATCGATTATTTTTTATTGAAAATACGGGTAAATAGATATGAGTACAGGTACGGGTACAAACTGCGAATTTATACGAGTACGGGTACAGGTGTCTACACAGATATGAGTTTGAGTACGGAAAAATTTTTAAACTGCGAATTTAAGAACAGATACCATAGTACTCTTCCTAAACTCTGTCTATTGTCATCTCTAAATATGCTCAAATATAAAATTTATTTTTATTTTAATAAAATTTGAAACCTAAAAATTTTTTTAGTAGTTTTCTATTCATTATTAATTTCAAGTGGAGTGACATGACATGAAAAGATAATAAATTATCATTGTATTACATGTTAGTGTAAAAACTTTTTATATTGAATATATAAAAATTCATTTCATTATTTTTTAATCTCATTGATAAGAAATAACTAAATTGAAAGTTTAACCTTAAAATATTACATTCTATGCTTGTTTTGCTTAATCTAAACTTAACCATCTCGTTGAAAGTAATCTTGAAATTATTTCTTAATCTAAACTTAACACTATTCACTTAGGAATTGGCAGTTGTCTTCTGAAACTTTATTTATTACACTTTTTTTTTTTTTTAATTTTACAACAACGAAATTTTGATGGGCTTATAGGTCAAAAATAAAAGGTGCATGAAAATTAAATATATAGGTTGGTTTGCATGCGATCCACACTAATTATTTTTTTATTTTTCGTGCACCCTTTGACACCACACGTGCAGCTTCTGCGCCACGAGCCAAGTATCATCAATTAATTACGACAGTACATCATGTGAGAAGCACCCTTTTTCTGAAGCAATGATATAAACAATTATAATCATGTTTGGATTTTTTTTAATAGTATGTTGGTTACAAAATGGACGGCAGATTATAATAATCTTTATAAAATGAGTATAATCAATTATTGTAGACTATTATGTATTGATTTGTCCTGATCAGAAGGGGATCGCTGACTGCCACGCGTTCTTGACTTACTACCTGTTCACTGGTGTTGAAAAAGAGGAGGGGGAATTACCTGCAAGACACTCTGATGCTAAAGTAAGCCTATGGGCAGAGTGATCACAAGTACAGAAAAAGGGTAAGAAGAGAATATCTGACCCTCTTGTGAAAGAGGGTATTTATAGAGAGATCTCAGCGCTGGGCCAACGGTCACTTGTATTGGGCTGGATTGTCAGGCCCAACCCAGGCGACTGTTAGGTCTTACGTGGCGTAGTGAAGACCAGGACGTGGCATTCGCCCTAGTTCAACTGTCCCGTGATCTCCGGAAGGTGGGTTTGACCTACTCTTTCGGAGGTGGGCAGTTGATTGGTGACGTGTCCCCGCGTAGGGGAGCACGTGGAGAACGTGTGAAGGACACGTTGTCCTGCCCGACAAGGGAGCAAGTTCTGCCCGTGGAGGGAGGTTCTGCCCGACGGGGGCAGTGTCTGGTCGACGGGGAGTCTTGTGTTCGATACAAGTGAGGAAGGTTATGCCCGCGGAGGGATATTGCCTGCCTGGTGGGGACTCTATGCTCGACGGCTGTGGCTTAAGCTGGATTGTGCTTGGCAGAATATTATTGGGCTGGGCCTGTCCGGTCAAGCCGGGGCCCAG